AGCGCCAAAAGTACCATCCATCAATACCTCATCCGGTATGATGGTGAAACGGGTCGTCCCCATACCTCGTCCGGTATGAGCACAAAAAATATTAATCCTCGATACCCCGTCCGGTATGAAAGTGAATCGGGCCGTCCTCATACCCCGTCCAGTATGAACGCCAAAAATGAGACAACGTTCACGGTAGGGTTCCCTATGCACCCGGTCCATCCACCATCTCTCAAGATATCCAGTAAGACTACTATTTATCTATTCAGTTAATCAAACAATTTCCTGTTTATATTTAATTTTTCAGTTTTCCAATTTAACTGTAAATCATACAAAATAAGCAATACATGCATTTAAGAAAACACAAATCGAATCATCATACCAATTTCAGTGTATTATCATCCATTCAAAACTGTAAAATCAATCAATCAGTTAAAATATGATAAAGAGTAATAAATAACCGATTCCAGCTCCATTAGTAACCTTTAATTATCGATATTTATAAATTACGCAAAATATCGTATTATTTATAATTAAACTTCAATTCCATAACAGTGAATAAGGTGAGAGATTCTTACTCGAATCAGTATCCAAAATGATAAACTTTCAGCTGCGCCTATTGGCAGTCCTCGGATTCCCTGAATTTCTCTTCAAAGATTAAAACATGCTTCAAGTACTTAAAAATATCCCAAAAAATCTAAAATTGGTGTTAGAAATTCTTTCCGGCCAATTTCGAAATTCTGGCATGGCAGCATTGTCGTGCTTCGCTGACGACACCACTGCTCGCGACGGTGGTTTGCCTCGAGCTGGCCATTTTCGGTCAGTTTTGGTCGATTTTGGCCGATTTGATACTCATCTCTGCAAGAAAACACGTTAAGAGGCATCGAATTGTCGAAAAAAGTCAAAAAATAAAAACTCACCAGCGGTGAGATTTTTCGGTGCGGTGGCTCTGTCAGCTCACTTTCGCAGTTATGTGTTTTTTTTCGGTCAACCTGTAGAAAATAGAACAGTAAATACAATGGTGAAAAATGCACGAAACGGGAATCAGGAAGAGACTCATTGGAGACGGTTTTTAGTTTTTCACACGGCAGTGTCGCTGGATTTTACCCTTAGTTTTTTGCTCATCTGTCGGTCCTTTGTCTCTAATTTGGCCATGGAGATGTTCAAAATCAAATTTTGAGCGATTGAGAGAATTTTTAACTTTTTTGGTGGTCGGAGGTGGCTCCGGCGCAGCAGTGAGCGGCAGTCGACTCCCTTTCTGGTGACTAATTCTTCTTCTCCGGCGGGGGACTGGTGGCCAGGGTTAGAGTTTGGTGTGAAGTGATGTACTTATATCCGTCTTTCTTTAATATGGACCGTCCATTGCGTTTGGTCTCAACCATCTGATCGCGTTTAATAAGCAAATAAATCTGAACCGTTCATCACAATTTGATATAGACCGTACAATCGCATTTAAAGAGAAAATGAATCCGGACCATTCATCGTATTTGATCGCGACTGTCCAGTCGCACCTGAGGAAGGAACGAATCCGGACCATCCACGTGCGCGAGAACAAATCCAAACTATCCGATCGTGGGCGTGCAGATTGCCAATATGGCCTCCTGCGTAGTACCGCGTCAACGTGTCTTGCCACGCGGCACGTTTCAGTTCGTCAAGACTGCTGACTGGGCGGTCCTACTTAGCATATTTTTTCTAAATTATATTTTGATCCCTAATTTTTAAATTTTCTTTCAAAAACACCGCCATAACCCAAATTTTCATTCATTTTTTTCAAAGTTATTTTTAATTTCATATTCCACCTATTTTTTCTTAATTTTTACATTAAATAAAAATTTATAAATTAAGAAATTATATTTTATACATTAATTTTAAAATTTTAAAATTAGTTTTGGATATTATAACTCTCCCCCCATTAAAACAAATTTGGTCCCTCAAATTTGTCTCTCTCTCACTTAATCAAACAGTTGGAGATACTAGACTCTAAATTTTGCTTCTAGCTCCCATGTAACCTCTCCCTATGCATGATTCTGCCATAGGACTTTAACGAAGGAAATTTTTCAGTTGCGGAGTACTCTGCTCTTTCGGTCCAAAATTCCTAACGGTATCTTCTCGTATGATAGATCCTCCTGAAGTAAAAAAGGCTCGTGGGCCAAAGCATGAGAGGGTCCATGTTATACTTATGTAGTATGGACACATGGAACACATTATGGATCCTGAATAGTTCTGGAGGTAGTGCCAGTCTGTAGGCGGTAGTGTCAATTCTGTCTAAGATTTTAAATGACCTAATGAATCGAGGATTTAGTTTTCTTTTCTTGCCAAACCTACTAATTTTCTTGAAATGAGTGACTTTAAGGAACACCTTATCATCTTTCTTAAATTCCAAATCCCTTCTCTGGGTATCTGCATAACTCTTCTGTCTGCTCTAAGCCGTCTGGATGTTCTTCCTGATCTTAACTATTTTGGCTGTAGTCTCTTCTACAAAATCTGAACCGAATAATCTTCTATTACCCACTTCTTTCTAACAGATCGACGATTTGCATGGGCGGCCATACAACACCTCGTACGGAGCTATGTCGATACTTGGTTAGTAACTGTTATTGTATGTTAACTCTATTAGGGGTAAATGATCATCCCAATGACCCCCGAAGTTAAGAACACAAGCTCGGAACATATCCTCTAGTGTGCAGATCGTCATTTCTGATTGTCCATCGATTTGGGGGTAGAATACAGTACTGAGAGACTATTTCATTCCCATAGTTTACTGAAAACTAGACCAGAACCGAGAAGTGAACATTGGGTCCCTGTCGGACACTACTGTCACTAGCACTCTATGTAATCTGACTATCTCCCAAATATATATTCTTGCTACCTTATTCAATGGGTCGGTCAT